TTTATGGAGCCATTAACAAAATCAATTCCTTTTGGGATTATTAAAGTATTTCTGATTCTGATACTACCAGTACTGCTCACCCAAAGTGTCCAACAGACAAAAGGAGGCGTAAGAAGTAGAAAAGTGGCCTTGTCTTTTCTTCTGTAGGCCCCTGAAGTCTCCACATACGACCAGATCTTCAACCAGGAGCAGGGGTTCGACGTGAGGCTGCGGAGGGACGACAGGAAACACTGGAGAGGCCGGGGGCTGAACATAAACCAGGAGGTAATCGCAAAGAAGTTTTACCATTTTTTAGTTTTTAGAAGATGTAGATCCATCTAAAGTCTGCTTTGAATTTGATTCTTTTTCGTATATTGTTGGAAACTTTTGTTGAAGCCTCAACAAAAACCCGACAGGCTTTCAGACAGCGTTGATGAAACTGCTCAGAAAACAGAAGCCATATCAAACAAAGCTTCGCTTTATGCTTATACTAATTATTTCTACCTTAACTTTTCAAGCTCTCTGCATATAAACAAAAAAAACCCTCTTCAAATGTCCCAATCATGACAATGGATGATTGTGAACACTCAAACAAAATGAAACACTAAGAGAAAAAAAGAGAAGCAAGTGGGAAAAAACTTAATTTAAATGCTTGTATCAAATAAAAAAATGTGTTGAAACCTCTAAAAGAAGAGTGAATATACCTACGGAAAAAGAAATTAATTAATTTCTACCTTAACTTTTAAAGCTCTCTGCATATAAACAAAAAAAACCCTCTTCAAATATCCCAATCATAACAATGGATGATTGTGAACTCCCAAACAAACTGAAACACTAAGAGAAAAAAAGAGAAGCAAGTGGGAAAAAACTTAATCTAAATGCGTGTATCAAATATAAAAATGTGTCGAAACCACTAAAAGAAGAGTGAATATACCTCCGGAAAAAGAAAAAAATGGTGGTACAGAATTTAAAAATAAGAATTTATCCAGGTATTCATCTCCTTTTGTTTTTTGTCTCTTTTATCTGGGACCCCTGAAGGCTTAGCCTAAATTAATCAATTTCATTAGGAGAAAAATACACGCGTTATAGTCATTTTCTTTTTTTTTTTTTAAAGAAACGTCTCCATTTCCTTAAAAGTCTTCCATCATGTCATATCAGAAATGGTGAAACATGATCTCTTTCTGGAATTAATTGTGATAACATTTCACGTTGGTAAGATTGATTTCTCTATTTTATTTGTTTGCTGTTTCTAATGATTCGATCTTGACAAGAAGATTAAATATACCTCCGGAAAAATAAAAAGAAAGAAATTACTGGGCCTTCAGGGAATTCTCTTTATACATTTTATACTACACACCAACAGACCAACTTGTTTGGTATTATTGTTGCAAAATCAAAATGTTCTGATCTCTTCTTCTGATGATTATTTCTTTCTCAGCTTTGATGGTGGTCAGACAGAGTTTAACTCATTGACTGCCAGAGTTTTTTGAGCATTTTGACTGATTTTTCTAGAGCCGCAGAATAGTTTGTGCTATGACTATGTAAACACCGAACACACCA